CTACCTGAATGCAATCTAGATAGCTTACAGAAAATAAACTTAAAAAAAAAAAAAATGTAATGAAAATGAATGCAACTGTCAGGAAAAACTAAACAAACAAGTAACAAGCAGCACCTTTCAATTTATATGCTATAATTCCATAAATTGGGAAGAACACAGAGAATAAAAAGAAACAATTATTGACTTACTAGGCAAGATAAAAAGAACAACCTCAACAACACGCAAAACCATGATGGTATATTCCAATTACTACCAGAAATTTGACTACCTGGCTTAGGAGGTGCATGAACAATTTTAGCTGAATGTGATGGTTCTCCAGGGACTGATGTATCATTATCTGCACGTATCTGAAGAGAACTCGATTCCACTTTCTGCACATTCACCTCTTCTTTTGTTTCTCTTGTGTCCTTATCTTCATTTTCCACCCTCTCCGTGTGATCCACGCTCAGGGGAGTCAGTTCAGACTGACTGATGTGAGATTCACTTTTGTATGCAAAATCGCACACAACCACATCCTCTATGTGGGAATCCATAGGCTCTTCTGTGAATAATTGAAAACTGCATGAGTGAATTTCTCTCTGTAGATCCACAACTCACACTTTGCACAATTAACATTGATATTAAGTTAACTCATTTCCAATAACTGTTTTCCAACAGATAAAGTGACTGTTTGCAAGAGTCTGAAAACAGAAAACTTCCTTTATGACCCTGAATTACCAGCACCAACTTATTTATGAGAACAGTTTTATTTTCTCCACTACAATGGGGCATTCAACTAATCTCATGCCATAACTTCAAACAAACAACAAAAAAAGATCAAAAAAACCTAACACAAACACACACGGCAAGTTATAATGATTCAAAACCAACACAACAAGTTCCATCACAACTGAGAACAGCTGGTTTTGGTGTTGGATAAATGGGGTGTGACTGCTCAATCACCTGAAGAAAACTCCTCCTTTCCCTGCCATCCACTGTCCTGCTTAGTCTTCTCCAGATTATTACTTTTATGACAGAGGTAAAAATGGTCTAAATCTCCACAGCACACAGCTAGAAAGCAAGGATGTGCCCAGAGATGAAAAAGAAAATAAGCTGGTCTATGCAAAAAGAAAGGAAACACATTTTTCAACAGAACAAGTCAGCTGCACAATTTGGTCTCTTGGCTACATAGTGCTCTTGATTCAAAACACACTGGAAAGACACAACCTACCCAGACCTTTACAAAGGGGTCTATTTACAAATAACAAAGCATATTAGCCATTCAATCACTCAAGCAGGTACTTGATCCTCCTTTGAAACATCAGTATTAGTTTTCAAACACTAAGAATTTCTTACCTTCACTCACTACTTTTGAAATATCTCCTCTGGAAAGAAATTTCAACATTTTCTTCAGAACTTTCTTGTGAGATTTGGAAGTCTGAAAACACAAAGCCTGGCACCTTAAAAAGAAAAAAATATGACCATTTATTTTGTGAAATATTATTTGAGAACACACTGTTAAGGAGCCACTTTTAAAAATTACACTGTATATGTATTTACTAATTATTTCTTAAGCTTCCCTATGTTAAATGGTCAAATATATTATCAACACTTTTGAGTTAATGAAATTATGTTGTCTCATTCCTTACGGCATGTTTTGTGTGTATATCACTATAATCACTAAAATATGCCAAGGTGACCTCAAGCATTGCGTAAAAAAAGCTTTCCTAGGATACTAATACACTAGAATTTTTCACTTATGCATCTTATAGATACAGCATTGATTCTAACTACTAACATCCGAAAAGCGCATCTAGAATTATTCACACCTAGTCAACTGACAGCCTCTCTTATTTGAGCTACTAAAGCAGCGTTTGTGGGACACAGACATACTGGGTCACTTGCAACCAGTGACCAAGAGAGCAATCCCTGGACTCTTGCCTCTGATTGCAACCCAGAAGCAAAAGGCAAGGGTACACCCTTAGCAGATTGCTTACAGGAAAACATCACAGAGCCACTGAAGTGCCTATGCACAAACCCAATAGCATGTATTTACCATTCAAAGTATCATTAAAAGTAGATAATCTTTTCAAGTATTATGTATTTAAAGCACTAAACACAAACGTGTTACAGTCAAATCGTTTACAATAGTGTATTTTGAGCTTCTTACCTTATTGTGTATTGAGGACAACACGTTTGATTCATGATGGGTTTGTAGACATATTTGCCACTTCTAAAGAGAATAATAAATATGTATTGATTTTTTTGTTGCTTATACTACAAAATAAATCGAAGACTGACTTTTTTGGTTAAAATAGTATCAAAATATTAGATGATGAATAACAAAAGTCAAGCAAGATCTTCAGCTTTTTACTGCTATACTAAAATACTATCCTTCTAAAATAACCGATTGTTTTCCTGGTCCACCGTGTAATGTTACAAAATGCTGCAAAGCACTGGACAAATGGTTCTATTTCAATTACTTATGGAAACTAGTTAACTGTTGTGGTGGGTTAACCTTGGCTGGACACCAAGTGCCCACCAAAGCCACTCTATCACTCTTCTCCTCAACTGGATAGTGGAGAGAGACTATAACGAAAGGCTTATGGGTCAGGATAAGGACAGTTTAATAAAGCAAAAGCAAAGGTCATGTGAAAACGCAAAGGAAAATAGAAGATTTTGTTCTCTAATTCCCATCAGCAGGTGATGTCCGGCCACTTCCCAGGAAGCAGGGTTTCAGCACAGGCTCCAGAAGACAAACATAAATAAAAAAATGCCCCATGCCCTCCTCCTTTCTCTCAGCTTTTATTGCTGGCCAGACATCACATAGTATGGAACAGCCCTTTGATCAGCTGTCCCAGCTGTGTCACCCCCCCTCCCCAGTTTACAGGTGAGGGGGGATTCTGGAGAGACAGCCTTGATGCTGTGGGAGCACTGGTCAGGAGTAGCCACCACACCGGTGTGTTATCAACATCTTTGTAGCTACCAACACCCAGCACAGCACTATGAGAGCAGCTGTGGGGAAAATTAACTCCCTCTCAGACAGACCCAATACAGCTGGTTTCACAGACCTAAATTTTAAATCTGGATTCTAAATTGTACCTGAACTGACAAAACGGCTTTGTATTTTCTTTTTAAATTTACCTTCGCCATCCTCTGTCTATAAGATCCTGGTAATCTTGAACTGTCATTGAATGTGCCCACATACCTGAAATAAGTAATGAAGGAACACACTTAACTGACCATAGCTATGCTTTAAAATACAAGTTCTACAAAAACATTACTGTAAATCTGAGTAGCTAATGGCAACTTTCAAATAGATATCTTTTAAGGATTTGGCATACTCATAGATTTCATAAATTACCAATTTCAACACAAAAATTAAGTGTAAAAAAAAAAAAAAAAAAACCAAAACCAACATAAATCTTGGGATGCAATCAACTACACTGCTCTGACTGTAGAAGTTAAAAGTTCACCTCTCCACCTGCTATCCTTCCCAGAGATACACCAACGAAATAACAAAAACTTGCTCCTTAGTTTTGTTAAAACCGCACGGGAGCACTGGGCCAGAGAACCTCTTCCGAGCAGCGCTGAAGCCGACACAGACGGGTCCCAGGGCCCGTCGGGGAGCAGCTGCCCACGGCGCCGAGCTGAGCTCAGGGGCTGTCGCCTCCTCACCAGGAGAAGGAAAACAGCCCGCTTCCCACTGAGCTGGCCCAAGAGAAACTTGTCCAGCCACAGCTTTAGAGCCATCGCGCCTGGCCCGGCAGACACGCTCTTATCCGCAGGTTAAGCCGGGCAGTCGCTGAGAGTGGAAGGTCAGGCAGAGAAGGAGAGAACGCTTTGGGCGAGACCTTAACTACATCCTTAGCGTTAATTAAAACATTTCATCCTTTACAAAGCTTTCCCGTTACTTTTGACGGTTCGCCCTTAGCCTGGAGAAACACTCCTCTAAAACCAGACGACGGGGCGAGGCTGCCCAGCGAGCCCGCGGCCTCCGGCGGCCCCGGCCCCGTCTCGCTTCGCCCCAAGTGCCGGGGGGGTGCGGGCACCTCCCGGAGAGCAGGACGGCGGCGGAAAGGGCGAGGGCTGCTGCCAAACCGCCGCTCGCAGGCCTCCCCCAGCCCCGCCGGTGCCCGCGGGAGCAGCCCGAGCCTCCAGCCCCCCTCCTTTCTCCGGCAGCACCGGCGCGGCCCGCCCGCCCTGCCCCCGGGCCGAACCATGGGAGAGGTTGCCGCTCTCGTTTTTGCAGTAGCCGCAGCGGTAGCCATCCTCTCCGCCGAAGTACTCGACGATGCTCGGAGAGTTGCCGCCCGCCGCCATCTCCCCGCTCGCCCAGCTCAGGGCAGCGCCCTGCCCGCCGCCCCACACGGTTCCCCGAGACACCCGGAAACGGCACCCGCCGCCGCCATCTTGGCTACGGGCAGCGCGCGGGCAGCGCCCACAGGAAGCGGCGCTCCCGCCATGTTTACCACGGGCTGCTGCAGCGGCTTCCCCACACGCCCCCCCCCCCCTCAGCAAGCTGCCCCCCCCCCCCCCATCTTTAGTGAGGGCGGGCGCGGCTCCCGGCCCTGGAGCCCCGGCACCCCCGTCCCTCTTCCTCCTCCCGCTTACCGGCGGAGACTTTGCCCCGCTCCGAGGCGCAGTAGCCGCAGCGATAGCCCTCCTTCCAGCCCTTGTACTCCACCACGGCGGCAGGCATGGCGGCCGCCTGCCCCGCTCCGCTCCGCCCCGCCCGCTGCCGCCTACAGAGAGGCAGGCTGCGCCCCGGCCAGGCCGCACCAGCCCCGGTGCTGGAGTTGAGCTAACGCACAGCTCTCGCTTCTCTTGTGGATGAGCAAATACGATCAAACTGTGTTTTCGCATACCCTCAGGCCCGGATCACAGCTTATCGCTCCCTAGAAACGTGCCCTCCCAGGGGTGCTAAAAGCCCTACAGCAGACCACTTGGTAGCTGCCACCTCTCAGATGCCTCGTGATAAAAGAAAGGAAGAAATCCTAAAAACTCCAGGGACAACGGTCTTCCGAAGAGCATTTTATAGAGATGGAGCTAGACTTTATTTATTTGGAAGAAAACAATGTCACGGCCTAAAACAGCTACCCTGCCTACATTACAAAACCAAATACACACAATGGACTTGAGGAAATAAAAAAGGAGGAATTTTTATCTTTGAGATCAAATTTCTAAGCTCAGAGCTTGATTTCCAGAAGAGTAAAAACTGAAATACAGTATCAATTTCTGCAGCACCCAAGATCATCTAGATAACAAGATTATCACAGCAGAGATGGTTAACTGTGCCAGTTGCAGGCTGCTATTGGGGAGAGACAAAGGATGAAAGAAGGATAGCACTTCCTTTTTGTGAAAGCTTTTATAAAGTTTACTGGCATCTAAAAACTAGTAAACTAAGCCATAATAAATAGAAAGTATATGGTAAAAAAAACTGTGACAGGTACAAACAAGACAACTTATATTAAGTGTTGAGATATTCCAATAAAAAATAAATTTAATTTTACAATATATACATATAAAATATTTTCTGAAGGAAACATTTAAAAATATTTTCTTTAAGGCACCTAGGGGAAAAGAAAAAAAGAGAAAACAATAAGACACTATTCATAAAGATTTGCAACTTACCAAACAACTACGACAATGAAAGAGTTCAGTCCTATCATTTAAATGATTTTAGCAGTAACCAGGCTGTCTTCCCTTCATGCTTCCCTAAATCTTTCATCCAACTCCTCTATTAACAGCATCAGCTGTCAGTAGGTTAAAAAAAAAAGTACAAAAACTAAGCTATGATTCTTGACAGCATTGCACTCCAAGTACGAGTATAAAGATCCAAAAATTAACTCAAGTATATCACTTAACTGACCATCAAACATAAAACCAAAGGGTTTTTTCAGTTAATTACTGCATAGAAGACTAGATTACATTTTGTTCCATTAAGAGATGAGGTATATAGAAACATTCCAGACATTACGCAGTTATCCTGATTATAAATGTAGAACTATAAGTCACGGGTAGTTGCCCTGCAGTACTTCCACATGCATGAGGAACTCATGCACTGTATCCTGATGTAAATTGATTTATTAAAAGAACTTACGTGAAGAATTAAGGTATCTCCATTTCATCTTCATTTGTACGACAAGGAGGGCTAATCATGGGTTCTGTTATTTCATACGTTTCTACAATCTCCTGGTTAGAGATGACAGTATGTCAGTTAAAAGAGCTGAGCTATTTCAATTTAATTGCAGTTATCACCAGGTAAGTAATAAAGTTGCTCACACTAAAGCACTATTTCAAATCACTAAGCTTCTTCTGCATGTTCTGAGTGAGGAACAAAGGAGAAGAGTTGTATGTTGTAAATACTACTTTTTGTCTGAGATTTATTACAAACAGTGAGGAAACTGTACAGAGAACTTCCCCTCTAGAAGCAAGTATCATATATAAAGGAAGAAACAGATTGCATACTTATGCAGTCCTCATATAAAACAGTAAAGGCAAGTCACTGCAGAACTTAAAAGCACTTAAATTGACCAGGCTTCAGGGATCAAAGATTAAATGCTATCCCAATTCTCAGTTTTCTTGAAGTTAAAAGCATTCATTAGATTTGTGATTAATCTGGAATCCATAAAATTAAATGTAGTGATAATATAATACAGGAACACCTATCCTCAGCAGAGTACAGCAGTACAGCTCTTAGATGCATTCTTAAGAGAAAAAAAGATTAATCAAAAATATCAAGTATTATCTATTATACCTTCCATTCTTGATGGGTCAGAGATATGACAAGCTGGTTCTGTGCTCTAACACCACGCTCATCCTCCCTGCTCTCATCTTTTGAAGGCTCTGTTCAAAAACATAGTACTTTCATAGACTTCACAAGTATAAAGTCAGTTTCCTCCATGAACACAAACCGCAAATCAATTACGCATGCTCCACTAAGCTCACCTCTATCAATATCCACATACTTCTTAAGGAATTTCTTTAGTCTTACCTCCTAAAAACGTGGGAGCTAACATTTCTCAGAGTCCCAGAAAGACCCAAGTATTTAATCCTTTATGAAATCCCACCAGAGTCTTAATCCCACTGATATCCAGTGGGAATGAAAGCCAAAGACCTCATACATAGGATGGCATTTCCTTCTCAACTGTTTTGAAGTTGCAGCACTTCCCAACTCAGACAAAAGAAACTTCTTGCACATAAAAATATCTTTTTTTCAAAAGTGTAACAATGCTCATATACTTATTAGATGAAATATCATGTAAAAGAAAATGTGATGACCTTTTATTTCTATTAATAGAATTAATTTTTATAGATCAGCATAATGGCCTTTTTCCATATTTCGGTATTTGAAGAGACTCAATCCTTCCAGTTCCTCTCATAAATCTCTTCATGTTTTCAATTATATTTACTGCATATTTCCGAATCTCTACTCTTGAAGTTAAAAATATATCTAAAACTTTGTGAACACATAAGATGTAGCTACTTTTCAATGTTGTAACAAAAACTGGTAACAGTCTTTTAAAGCTAGACTTTACCTATTATTGGCAATTTATCATCATCCAGCTTTAATCTTGCAAAACCATCCTAAAAGACAGTAGGATTTAAAGTTTCAGAAATTAGAGCTAATTAGGATAATGCACTGAGATTTCATATTTTCAATTAATGTATTAAATAATCGTAAACAGGTAAATATATTGATAAAGAATCTTAATTGGTATACCAGATAAGAAAAAAATATTTAAATATAACACTTATAAATAAGGAATGCAGCTAATACAGGACAGTTGGTAACTGTTAGATTACAAAAAATTTGTTTTATTAAAAATCATTATTATTCATTAAATATACTTGAGTTGACCCTTCATAATCACATCACCTATTCACTATAAACCTGAGTTTAGTCAAAATATATTTGTAAGTTTTTCTCTTCTCAAATTAATTTTACTTATTAGACTAAATAAATAATTTGAAGCACAAATCTACAGATTTGAAAAGAACATAAACACTGTATTCACATACTTTCCTAAAACCTCAGTAACTCTTCTGTGCCCTAAGGCTACTCTTCTATGCTCTAAAGTAATGTGAGCTAGAATCCCTTTCTGAAAAGTGTACGGACAGCAAAATTTTCACTATTGTTTTGTTGGTAAACTGACTGTAGTAGAAAAATTTAATTAAAAAAAAATTAAGTCTGTCAACTCTGTTTTCTCTTTTATTCAATTACCAAAACATCACAGACTTTGTAGAAAACAAATTAGGATTCCTAATATTTAAATCTTAATGAATATTGAAGCTATAAAAATAACAAATCAATATTTCTAGATAATTCCAATATCTAAAATAAGATTTCAAGAACATGTCATGCCTTACCCTTATAATGAAGGACACATGAAAGATGTTTTCCACAGTGCGTGCAAAAGAGTTTGGATCAATCACAAGATCAAAGAAGGAAATAGGTGTATCAGCTAGAGATGCAAAAATGGGTTTGTTAAAAAAACAAACAAACAAACAAACAAAAAAAAACAGGTGGTATACACAGAGTGAATATATGTAAGCACAAACTTCAGAATGTCAGTACTCCTTTCTAAAGCTAACTGAATGTTTATGTCAATTCAGTTACAATGCTGAATTCCCAGTCACATGCAGAAACAAAGTTTCTAGAGAATATTCTTTCATCTTTTGCCACATACAAACATACACAGTGACCATCTGACTGCCTTTCAAAAAATGGCATGCTCTAATAAAAATGAGAGGGTAGGGTTTAAATGTACTCTGCAATCAAACATCAACTTATTAGTATTCACAAAAAATATAGTCAGTATATATCCTTCAGTATTTTACTTGCAAACTCCACCAATTTGTTTTTAATATAGTTCAACCACTACCAATTGTAGAAGATTAAGAGTATTCATTTTCTCAAATTAATGCTTTAAAAGCTTAATTGAATTATACTTACGATCATTTTTAAAATGAGTTTGCAATAATCCCAAGATCCTCTCTACTTCTTTTTCTGTAGCTTCCTGATGAGACTCCTCCATTTTTTTTAACTGAAAAAAAGAAACATAGTCCCTCCTCAAATAACCACTGTTGTAAGACAAGAATATGAAAAGGACCTTTTATGAACACATAACATAAAAGACAAATTTTTCTTTCTGCCACACATGCACAGTTACAGACACATGTATGCAAACGTGAGACAACTTAAAGTGCTTTATGAACTAATTCCCATCCTGCATTATCAAACTTAAAGGCCACAGTTTGTATGTTTTTTCCACATTTACAGGGCTACGCTTCCTTTCCAATAGTTCTACGGAATTAGGTTATCCTGAGTGGCACATAGTCTGTGAGTTTACTGAAGAACTTTATAAATAAGTGTAGAAGGGCAGTTCATTAAGATCTTTAACTTCTTTTTTCAGAAAAGGCACCTCAATTTATGTGTAAGACACATCATGGCATGAAGTTTGACATGGTCAAAAGATAGGATTGTCTTGTATTTGCTGTTCCTGTTAGCTAACACTTTGCCACTGACCACCTTGCAATAAAGCAAGCTAAAGAAAACTTTCACACATAACTATGTATCTAACACAGATTAACACAGATGCTGATCACCTGTGTTCACCTAAACTAACCACAAAATGCAGTCACACACTTCTAGAAGCAACTGCCTCAAACCCTCCAGCTCTTCTTCTTCCCAATACAAACTATATCAGAATAACTTCTGTCACTATTTGGATTATTATGAAAAAGGCTCCATTTAAAAAGACATACTCAATATTTTGCCTCTGCATACTGATATTATCAGCCAGAGGTTCCCCATCACAACATGGTTTATTTTTTCCAAGTTTCAAATGTAAGCCTCTCTGAGTGTTCTCAGACTTTTGCCTTTCTGCCAAAGTAAGACAGAAAGAATAGGGAAACAGAAAACAGGGAATATAGTGGTTAAGTGAGCTAATTAGGTGGCTGTTGTTAGCCGTGTTTCTGTGCAAATGCCACACACTTAGATACTCTTTAAGTAAAAGTTGAAAACACGCTAATGTAAACAAGCTTCTTTTTTGTTTCCTTCCAAAGCAACTAGCATCAGAGCTTAATCTGAACTTGGGAAGGAAGAAAAAAAAAAAAAAAAAAAAAAAAAAATCAGTCCGCAAATCCCACTTCCACACAGTGAAATACTGCAGTCCACACAAAACAAATCAAGAAGCGTAATAATGAAGTATTAGAATTACACAGTTCATAACTACAAAACCCAAAACAACATGAACAGAAAGATTTAAAATTCACTTGTAATAACAATGCCATAACAAATGGTTAATATAGATGACACTTCACGAACCTGAGCCGGCATTGCCCGTTTTTCTTCTCCTCCTGTAGCCTTTTTCTGCCGCTCAATCCGTTGCCTTGGTATAGGTGGATCAGACTTGAAAGATCCCAACCTGACCAAAACAGAAAGAACATATATATGGAAATAAGTTTTACTGAGCAGTTGATCTCCTAATAAAAGAGCAAAGTAATGACTGATAACTAAAAATAAAGCCTCATCACATTTAGAGATTTCTGCAAACAACCATCCCCAAAAGTTGCTCCTAATATATGTTGGCAACCTCATACCAGAATTATCAACAGATGTATAAAATTTGATTCAATTATTCCAACTTTTTTTAAAACTGAAAACTTTAAATCTACTTTTCTTAAAACTATTTAAGAAATGAAACAGAGTATATGGTTCATATCCTCCAATATCTCCATTTGAATTTATTACAAACTTTTCTGCCTGAAAACTCTCTCCATACAATATTTATCTTTTTCATCTATCGCTTAATTTCGGTAAGTCCAGGTTTGAAATATGTTTTTTTAATAAAAAAAAAAAAAAAGTCACAGATTTTTAAAATATAGTCAATCAATAGAACATTCAGTACACCAAGAAGAGATCCAAAGTTTCTCAATAAACAACGTGAGCGTAATATACGTACTAGATTTAGGCACTTTCTTGAAGTGCTTACCTCTCTCCATTGACTATATAAGGAACTTAGGCTCCTAACTTTGGTTGCCTTGAGTCTCCACCAAGTTAGATGCCTAAAGGAGAGAGTGTGAATTGAGACTCAATTCAAATTAGTTCAGCAGATATCCAAAAATTCTGCAGCACATATTTTTCCCTATCTTGGGTGAGCTGCAACTGCTCAATTGCAGAAATCACACACTGAACACGAAAAAAAAAATAACTCGGGCCTCAGATAAGAATAGATGGAGTCAGAAATAATTAGGTTTTTTTCCTAAACTGAGAACTACACTTCATTATTTAACACTCTGCAAACACTCACACAACCTCCATCAAAAGCCCATTATTACTTAAGATGTCAAAATGCAACTAATAAGAAAAAAAGTCTTTCTGGCAGTCAGCTTTGTGTTAAAACCATAAAAATTACTGGAAAGATAGTTATCGCTTAGAACTTACAGCTTGAAAGTGCAAACATAAGTTTGCAAATCTCAATTAGCTATCCAACATTAAATAGCAGATACTATATAATCAAATTTCTATATTCAGCAACTCTCTTACAATTACTGTGATACTTAGAAGGGTGGAACAAATGTAAAATCATTGACAACTGATTAATACTCTATCAGCTCTACTGTTAATAATTGAACTAGATCCTGCTATTGTAGGCTGACTTTGAGACATTTAAATTGGAGTGTTTTCTATAAACCAGGTGACTAAGGGTCATTTGACAGCAGCTAAAAAGGCTCCTGCTAAATGGGCTGCCTACGCATAAGGAGAGATGACACTGATTCTACATAAGGCCGCTTGCCAGTAATCAGGTGATTTTTTCTAAAGGCAGAGCCCGAAAGCCAGATTCTAAAGCACAACCCATTAACACAAGACATACAAGAAAAACTGTTGGTCTCTTCATGATAATACAATCAAGTAAAATATATAGAGCCTGATGGACAGACCTTCCATAACTGTCTGGAAAAAAAAAAAAAAAAAAAAACACACACAAAAACCCCACACACACACACAAACGTTCCTCTATTCATAATTCTGGCTGCAGCTTGTATAGGGGGAGAAGAATCAGTTTTTAAAGGAAAGAAGCTCACTTCTACTGGTTTTGTCCTGAAACAGGTAAATCAAGAATGCCTTGCTATCTCTGCTAGATACAATTGATATTGTTTTGTAGCCAAGCCAAATCAGAATCAGAGAAATATTATGAAATGTTTTGGAGACAAGGAGTTCACTGTACCATAAGAACAGAGACCAGACAGAAGTTCTTGTTGACACTCTGACCCGAGATTACGCTATTCAAGCCCAAGGCATTAAAGATAAAAATCAATTAAGGCCATTAGCTTGTGCTGCAGTATATACTATTCCCTTAAATAAACTTACATATAGTGAAAAGAAGGTGCTCTTCTGAAGTACTTTTCTGTTTCTTCTCCCAGTTTATGCCAGGCATTACTAGGTAAATAGCCACCTGAAATGCCCTCAGAATCATTACTATTTTCTTCTACTTCTATGCGATTTATACCCATGAAGGTTAGCTACAAAAGAAAAAAAAGCCACACTGAGAATTCACTTAGAGAAAGATCAGTAGATACATTAATGGTGAAATAATGTATTATGGTGTTTGTCCTGCAAGAATATTTACTATCACTGTATAAGAACCTTGACTTTCCTGAAGATACTGTGAAAATAGAAAAACTCATACACTCACATTGTGTTATGCAAGCAATGAAAAAAAGATATAGGTAAATAAAACTGCCTGTATTCCAACAGAATTTCAATGATGTATGAAGTAGCAAAGCATGAATTAAATTGCATTATAAAGCTAAGATGTCTCACAGTTTCTAAACACCACACACTTCCAGGAAGTTTAGCTCCTCAAATACCATAAAGCAACTTATTTGGCTCAACCCTGCATCCACCAACCCAGACTTCCCCAGGAAAAATTTTCAACAAAACAACTGAACTTAATGTTTTTTTTATATATACATTGCAAAGCTCTAGACTTGACCAAATTCAGACTCTTTATTAATCTGCTGTAAATGTAAGAGAGAACTTTCAGGGAAGGAAAAAAAAAAGTCTGCCTCAAAGCTATTCTGACTCTTTCACCCAGTCACAGTATAAAGAGACAAAGATGTCAAGCTTAAAAGCAGACAGGTAATCCAAAGTCCCATTTCATGTCAGTGACAATGGGGCCTTGAGATCTCCATCCAAAAACATATAGAGCAGTGAACAGGATAAAGAAGCTATTTAACTACTGGAAAACTACAAAACAGGGAGTATAAAGAAAAAAGTGCACAAGACTATCTTAAGAGCACAAACTGACTGAACTGGAACAAAGTAGCAGCAATGCAACAATGTAGAGGAGGAAGATGTCTGCATTTTAAGTTCATTTTCCCCTGTGTATATTAAAAATGCTTAATACATAGTTTAAAATAATTAACAACACTAACCAGAAAGTTAATCAAAGAAATTCATAGGAACAGTGTTAAATTCCATCAGAACTATCATGTACTGCCTGAGAATCTGAAGCTTTGGTTTGACAATTCTGTAACAAATAGGGCAAACCTCTAGTAAAATTGTTGGCAAATTCAGAGTCTTAAACTTACCAAGTCTTCTGCAAATACTAGTGAATCAAATGCTGCCATCTCAGAGTGCAATTCATTCGCCTTCTCCTTTCCTAGATTTGATGCCAAGACAAGAAACTGGGCATCTAGCGCAGCCTCTCGTGCACAGGAAACTGTTGCAGAAAAGATTTTATGTTAATAATATTAAATTGTCAAATATATAATAATAAAATTTAGCATACAGACTATCCTGGGTATAGAGCTTTGTAAATCATTTCACTGCAATGACCTCTAACACACTTACTTACACAAGCCTTGTAATACTTGCATTTTTGAAAAAAAGAGAGAGAAAAGGAGATGACACTGACAAAGGCAAGCATGGAAGATTAACACATTATCTTAAAGAATAGGATGCATTTTTCATTGACAAGCTTTCCATCTCTCCAAGTGAAATAAACCCCTCTACACTACTACCCTTCAGATGTACTACTGACATACGTTGTTCTACAGAGTCAGGATAAAGCAAGGAGTATTTCTAAGTGCAAACAAACACTAAAGTAGTGATATTTATTTTCCCATATCAACTTATTCAGATAAGTCTTCTTCAACTAAATATATCTATTTCATGTTATACTTTAGTAATTTTGATAATCTACTTGGACCTTAGCTTCACTATCTTGCCCTCTTTTGTTTCTAACCACAAGCCTGACACTTGGACAGCTGTCGAGCAAACACCTCTAATAAGGACCACAGAATGTGCTTTACCTCCACTGAACAGTTTATTGGCTTCTTCCAAAGCTTCTGTCAGTCTGTTACTCTTTGAACTCAGGATATCCTCACGATTTTCTGAGGGGAAGACACAAATGAAATCCTAAATTGTTTAAATACAAAAGCATCAAGAAATACATACTTTGACCTTAATCAAAACTGGCTGGTTAATAGTCCACCACACACACAAAAATACAGAACATAGTTGTAGTACCTCAACTGCAAGACTATGTAGGCTCCATTTTTATTAATGCTTATGCATTAATTCAGTTTGAAGTAGTACTTTTCCATTTACTTCAATGGGATACGATTTATATGGTTGAAATTATGTTAGCAGATCCCAGATTCCTCTTGGTTCCAGTAAAATACCTACATCTGTGTCAAAGCAGCTACCAGATACCATAGTTTTCTGCATGTTACTTGTCTTACCCTTAAGTTATTGAGGATTTTCATGAAAGAAACAAACCAATCCCCAAAAATACATGCTTGTTGACTTCCAAAGATCACCATGTCAAACAGTTACTTATACGTAACAGCCTACACATGATTTAGCAAGGCTTTCAGATGTTCAATTCTGAACAACTACTGACAGCACTGCTTTTAAGGATGTACACCACATTCAATGCACTGAGACACCACTGCTGTTTTTCTCCATAAACATCCACGAGCTGCACTGCAAGCTCTACAAATTTAGCAAGTATGAAAAGAACAACCAACAGCACATGTCACTAAATGTGGCAGTGCTTACTCAAGCAACTATTGCTATGCTTTCGTGAGAAAAACTACACACTCCAAACATAGATGGGAGAACCACTGACACACCTATCTAGAGAGATGCTAAAAATCCCATAGTGCTTTCTGGAAAGCCTAAGAATAACTTTCTGGTCCAAGCAGGCACCGGTACCTGCAATTTCAAATTAAAGCTCAAGCACCATGAACGCAAAGGCTTTCAGCACATGTCCAAGTCCAAAGCTGAGAGTTCCTCTGCATCAAAGCAGTCGCAGAGATTACACGGAGGTAAATCCCTCGTAACCTTGCTATGCCCTGGTCATGCAAATCCTTAAATCCTTCCAGGGAGGTAAATTTCCATCTGATCACAGGATCAACAACTTCAGCAGTCCAAGGAACCCGCAGCTCCCGCGAAAGCTTGAAGCGTTCCTCCAAAGCCGAGGCGATGCTACCAGCCTGACACCGAAACGCCGGCCCTGGCCTGCGCCCCCAGCCCCCCCCTCAGTCCCCCGGGGCGCTGAGGGGGACAACCCGCGGGGCTGGGCAGAGGCCTCCCCCCCCCTCCCCGGGCTTACGCTGCACGCTGTAGATGAGCTCCCGGTACTGGTTGCGGATCACCCTCCTGCTGCGCTCATCGCCGGAGCCCACGGCGCTCTCCGACCGCCGGAGCAGCTCGCCCACCGCCTCCGGCTCCTCTCCCTCCTCCCGGGAGGCGGGCGGGCGCCGGCGGCCCGACAGCCGGGGCGACTTGTGCTGAGGCATGGCGCCATCGTCCGAGGTGGACGGCAGCGAGTGGCGGCCGCGCTCCCCGCCCGAGCTCAGCGAGAAAGAGAAATCGCGGGTTCCGCTCGCCTCCGCCATGGCGGGTCGGCACCCCGGGCCTTCAGCAGCAGCCGCCGCAGCCGCCGCCGCCGCCGCCGCCGCCGCCGCCCCCCGGGCAGCCCGGCCCCGCGGAAGGCGCCAAAGGCCGCGGCGACGCCGTTACCGGTCGCGACGGTGGCCCGGAAGGGCCAAACACGCGTAGATGGGAGGGGGCGGGGCGGGGCGGGGCCGGGCCGGGCCTTGCCGCCTCAGCGTGCGCGGGCGGGAAGGGTCAGCGCTGAGGGCGGCTGCCGCCGGGGGCAGCCCCGCGCTGAGGGGACGGGGCGGCTGGGACGGACATCGTTCGCAGCCCCTCCCCGTCCTCAGACCCTAGTTCGCAGCCCACCCCGTTTTCAACCCCCCCCGTTCACAGCCCCTCCGTTCACAGCTCCCTCGTTTTCAGCCCCACCCCGTTCTCAGCCCCCCCCCGTCCTCAGCCCCCCCCTTTTTTCAGCCCCCACATTCGCGCCCCCCACCCGCCGTTCGCAGCCCCCCCCGGCGGTGTGGAGCCTCGCCGGCGGGTGTTCCTTGCCTCACCCCGAAATAAATCGCACCTAAACCAGTCATTGCAGAGAAATCCCCGACAGGTCCGCTCACACACATCCGAGGCGTGACTCTTCTTGCATTAGCCAATTTTTCTGCTTTTATCTGCTTTTAAAAAGTCGAGTCCTAGAACTTTTGCTTCTATTAAGGAGTGGGAAGGTACTGGTGAGCCCGATGGTAACAAATCTTTCACCTACTTTTAAGCTTCTGTAACATCTGAGGAGCAGGAGAAGTGAAAATTGGAGACAAAGGGATGATGTACTCGACTGAGCATCTCTAATACATATATTTCCATACAAATGTATAGATTTATCACCAAGCAGGGATCTGCTCTGACAAACAAAGTAACAAATGCACACTTTCAAGTGGAATAGACTCCTAAATTAGTTAACCATGACCAGTGGCATTGTTTATTCAAAAAGCAACAAAGTTAAAGCAGAGTTAGATGTAAGAATAGGTATTGCTAATTTACCAGGAAGAAATATATCTTCAACATTTTAAGATTATCCACAACAAAGCATTACACGTCTGAAAAATCCAGCAACATTCAAATCGTCATTTCATGGTGAGCGTTTTATATTACAGACTGAAAAAAAAAAAAAAAAAATGAATACACAGTTTCTCCTCTCTATTTGTTTCCCAGTTCCAGTGTCACTGAGTTTAGTGTAATCATGGATCCGGCTTCTAATTTGGAGCAGTAGGCTGAGTAACGTCTTTCATTGCCCCTATTTTCTCATTGTCCATCATAAGTAGTAGCACTGTTCTAAAAATATCAGTAGTTCAGGAAGTGTGCTGAATGATTATTTCTGATATCCTGATGATTCTACTTTTAAGAGTTCCATGAAGTAGACTTTTGGTTTATGTTATCACACTAATCAGATAAAACAATCATTAACAATCTATTTCAATTGTGAGTATAGAGTTTGTACAAGATTCTGATGAAAAGAGAATTAGAAGAATATGTAATAATACCATGTTGCTACAATCTGTAAGAAATTCAAAACAGCCATACAGGCTAAAAGCTTAATTCCTGCTTTCCTGGTTACAGCATGTAATTCCCCTTAATCACCGAGGTTATGATGTTAGAGTAACATATGCTCTCTGCTTCAGTATGTTATGTAGTGTTCAAACACAGTGACAGGATTGCCTAGAAGTTTTTACAACTTCAGTCAATTGTGAAATGGGAGGCAAGGGTTCAGAACCTTCACACTTTCATAGTGACTTCTTGAGGGCTTCAGTAGGCTGGAAATGGTCTGGTAAAGCAGCCAGAGAGACAAAAAGAAGTAGCCTCATCAACAGCCGGATAATTCTAAGTCCAATTTTGTATTGATTCTAAAGCAAGTTCTCTTACACAAGATTCACAGATGCAAGACTACATCTTCCAACTGACTCTTCTTTCACAGTTAATGCATAGAACATAATCATATAACAAGTTAGAAAAAAAAGCCATTTTAGGTATAATGAACACCAGCATTCTAGGAATTTTCAAATTTGGGAATCTTTCATGTTATTGATACAGGATGAAGTATGTTTTCTATTACAGAAAAGGCATTGGGATGAAGTATTCTGTAATTTTAGCAGAAAATAGAAGTAATTTTATTAAGAAGCCAAATCATTAACATCTAAAATGTGTTGTTATGGGCATTGATGAATCCCAGATTTTTTACAAGAACACATTCAATAGCAGGGATTTCCATCCCCTGAAGTCCCCAAAAACAACCTTATTTCCTTCATAGTTCATGTCAGTCAACTCCAAATTTTCATACACCATCATAATTTAGACGAGCATTAATCCAGACATGTGTTGGTTTCTCCTGAGAACTTGACATACTTGTGAAACTTGAGGCAAAAACTAAATGCACAACTTACGGCAGGTTGGCACAATTAATATGAAACTTTTTACAAGTTTTCAAAAGCTCTGATCCATGCAAAGATATTGCCCATCAAAATGAATTCCTCATGTGAATCCATTGCCTCCAACAAAGCTAACTTAAGGGATGATTTTAACCAAATACATTGTTTCAAAGACAACAGATGTCACTTAATATAATGTCAAGTTATCCATATAAGGGGTTTATTATAATATATGATTAGAATAACAAGGCAGTACATTAAAAGTTAATTTCTATGAGTTTTCCTAATGACTTCTTAAAAATCATACCTTTTAATTGCAAGGAATCTAGGAATTTATTTGCAGCGTTCTCTGCTTAATTTTCAAGTTCAAATGAATCCTGCAACATATAAATACATAACACTCAGTACTTCATTATGTGATTTAAACTATGGTGTTGCTCTCATTATTGCTCTGTTTTATTAGAGTATTTTTAGCAGGTGTCCTAAAACATCTTCATAGATCAGACTAAGTTGGTATAAAGTCATGAAATTACGTTGTCTTCCCCAAACCAGTAATTCTGCTGGACTACAGACTGTAACTCTGCATGAGCTATCTATCAAAATATATGTTTCAAATGTTTCATTTTTCAGTACAAAGTTATTGAATTATAGTTTGGACTCTTGAACAATTTTCTATTCTTATACTTTGTGTGAACAGTAGAGTGCTGTCAAATTTGCCTTGCAAATTCATTATGATTAAGATGCTTTTGTACCCTAACACAGAAGGTCTCCAGAAAGGGTCCAAACAAGACTAGGGCCCATTGTACAATGCAGTACACAAACACACAGTAGGAAATATTTCCTATTCCAAAGACTTTGTAAGACAGTACAAAATGAGAAATGCTGAGCTGAGTAAGAGGCAAAGTAAAAGGTTCAATATGAGGTGAAAGGTTCAATACCTTGCTGAGGAAATCCTGTTGTATCCAGACTCATACAAACACTAATCTTGTGTTTTTGAAGATGATGCTTACTTTCTTGAAATCTGTGTTTGACCTTTCTTGGTGCTTAGACAGGCAGGGCCTTTTGCTCATTGGTTACAAGAGCAAAATATCCCACAGACTGCTCTTTGTCCCAGATATACAATACTGCAGCAAAAAGCGTTCCTAAAGAGGCAGCCCAAATTAACCAAAAATTAAACACCAACAAGCACAGGAGTACAACAAATACCATGCAGCGTATAAATTCACTTTTAACAAGAATATTGTGCACTATAAAAGGATTTCAGCAATTATTGTCACATTCCTATAATAGCTTGTATTTATAAGTGAAATAAAACCACTGAGATTAGTGGAGTTTAATCTGAATTCAGTTTTCAGTTTCATCACAAAAACCTCTTTCACTGAAGCTACACACATCACTTGGGAGTGGTAGGAGTGAGAGGAAAAGCCTACTGCTGCTTGTCGTGTGGACCAGTCTGTCACAGCTCACACCAAGCAGCTATGTGTGATAGAGAAGGTGGATGCTCTCATGACACCTAATCCCTTTTCCATCTTCTTGTTGCAGAGAACAGACCGGCAGTTTCAGACAGCACAACCAAGTACCACATCATCCTGGGTCATCTGGAGAAACCGAATCTGGGAGCACTGAGGGCAAAGGTATAACAACTTCACCTTTTTGCAGGACAGAATTTCAGGGGTGAAAGTGTCATCCAGCAGAACCCTCAGTGTGCTGTCTCACAGCTGGAGGGTGACACTGAGCCATTGTGCCCACACCGATTATCATGCATGTAGGTAGGTACATGTGTTCTGCAGGCCTGCCTTAGATCTACAAAGATGTCTACATTCTTGACTCCCGTTGGTTTCAGTGGGAAGAAGTGCCTAAATTGTGCAATAACTAGTTCCTGTATTTCCAGCTCTTGCTGTAACTGTTGTCCATAAACTATCTTATCAAGTGAACAGTTTGTGATCTGTGCTGTAGTGGCACTGTGTGCAGCAGGTTCCTGATACAGGCAGTGAAAGGTACAGAAGAGCAGAAGAATGAGGGCCAAAACCAGTGTTTCAGGCTATAGGACAGGTTGTGAGGAACTCTTACCAGTCCCCACTATAGCAAGGGCATATTGTGCATTATGCAAGAGATTCTGCAGCAGTGTTCCCCTCCAATTCACAGCAATATGGCATCCCAGTGACAATTATTTTCTTAGGAAAACATGAGCAGACTGTACAGTAAGATGATTCTCAAATACAGTTTAACAGCAGGAATCCAAAAGTGGCATCATGCAACCAGCAGATTCTGCCTCTTATGCACCTCTGTTAAATAATTACATTATTTATCTGAAAATTAATTTACAACACATGCAGTATCACTTCTCATGTCTCAGACCTCACCTTCCAAAAGAATACCATTGCCTTCTGTAAGCTGACTCACAACACCTGGCTTCAGAAAAAGCTGAAATATAGGAGGATATTATTAAAAAACTACCATATATACCCTTAATGTATACAGACTTTCTCCTCCCAGTGAGTCCAGATGTCAGGATTCAAATATAGTCTTAACATATTTAAGTGTGAGTTATAAATTTTTACTATTATCTGACTATGCTTAATATGAACTACACATCTTGCAATATTGCCAGGTATTCCTCTATATTTTTATTTTGAGAGTTCTGCTTGTCCAGATGATTTGATCTCCACTTTCCTGACTATTATTGTGCATATATGCCAATTGTTATTGTCAACAGTGAAAAGAGTAACTTCAGAAAA